TGAGTGTGTGTGTGTGTGTGTGTGTGTGAGAGAGAGAGAGTGTGTGTGACAGGAGTGTGTGTGTGAGCAAGTGTGTACGTGCGAGTGTATGTTTGTGTGTGTGTGTGAGAGTGTGAGTGTGTGTCACAGAAGTGTGAGTGTGAGCGATTGTGTGTGAGTGTGTAAGTGTGAGTGTGTGTGTGTGTGTGTGTGTGTGTGAGAGAGAGAGAGTGTGTGTGACAGGAGTGTGTGTGTGAGCAAGTGTGTACGTGCGAGTGTATGTTTGTGTGTGTGTGTGAGAGTGTGAGTGTGTGTCACAGAAGTGTGAGTGTGAGCGATTGTGTGTGAGTGTGTAAGTGTGAGTGTGTGTGTGTGTGTGTGAGTGAGTGTGTGTGTGAGTGTGTATGTTTGTGTGTGTAAGTGTGTGTGAGTGTGTGTGAGTGAGTGTGTGTGTGTGTGTGTGTGTGTGAGAGTGTGTGTGAGTGAGTGTGAGTGTGTGTGTGTGTGTGTGAGTTGAAATGTTAGAGTCATGCAAACATATCCATTTTGCTGTCAGGAGTGGGCGAAGCTTACGCGAGCAAACGAGCGCTGTTGCGCGCATGTGTGCTACACAGATGGAACGCAATAGAATAATAGTGCAATAATTCTGAATAAAACATGCATTCTGAGAAGAGATGATGCAACCCCTCAGAGGACCTCAGATGATGCCAACCCTGAAACAACTTACAGAACTACCACATTCTGCTATAAGTTTGATTGCAACATATAATAATTTCTGTTAATAGTGTGCATTGTCTGTTTGATTACATCTTTGATTTTTCCGTACATTTCTGCCATGTGTACATTAACTGACACCACTGATAAACTACCACTAAATATTGTAGAAACTTAATCTGCTGTAAAGTTGCTTCGCAACAATTTGTATCGTGAAAACCGCTATACAAATAAACTTGAATTGAATTGAATTCTGCTAAAATATTTGTTGTTGGCATTACATGTGACACGTGTAGAATTTTAAACCTACATATGTGTATTTTTATGATTGCAGTAACTGTAAATCAAATGTAAGCTAGCTAATACAGCCCTAATTACTAGCTCAAAAGAGTTAATGTGTATTCCTCTTATCAGTTAAAATATAGTCTGTTTTATATTATTTATTTTTATTTTTAATTTATTGATTTTAACTTTTAATTTAGTGTTTTAATGCTTTAAAGAGCAATTTTATATTGTAATGTTTTAATTTTCTAGTACAGCTGTAATAAAACCCGAGAGAAAGGCTGCACGGCTAGAAACTAACTGTATGTGAGAGAGTCAGTGATTATATCAATGCGTTCCTGTTGGTCAGAGTTATTGGAGCTCAGCTTAGCCTGACAGTTAGCCTGCTCTGGACCAGGCTAGTTTCCCAGCATGCCACAGTGACTGAGCTTGAGCTATGGTAATTTTGCTTTATGAAACCAAATCAAGTGACAATAAGTCAGACTAACTGAAATAAGCCTGACATTTTTGGTAAACTAGTTTTATGAAACAGCCCCCTGTTTTATCTGACTGGCTCAGCTGCTGAGAAATGTCACTTTCACACACAAACAAACGCAAAAACAGCAGCATGTTTTGTCATCATGTGAAGACCCTCGTCTCTCTGCCCTCCCTGCAGCTCTACTTTTGTCTTGTTCTCTATTTTCAGGATTAGATTCTGATTAAATTAAATTAGATTAAAAATCCAGGGCCATAACAAACCAAACCAAACTAGAACTCTTTATCAAACCACTCATCCAGTTAAGAATGACAAAAATCAAGTCAACTATAGCCTAGCCTATATTTTCAATTCAAAATGGCAAAATGTGACAAAAAAGGGTAGTTTGCATATATATTACAGCATGTGGTGTGCCATGCCTCATCTGATTCACGAGTTCACACTTACTTATAATGAACCGAGTAAAGTTTATGCGTATTTGGCGTGCTGTCCGGGGAGAGGGCTCCGAGCTCGGTAATTACTCTCGAGCCCGGGGTACTCCCCCTGGCCGGGGAGAGGGGTCCGAGCTCGGGATTAAGCCCGGACCCAAAATGCTCCCCCCGAGTGTTCCTCCCCGTGCTGGGGTAGGAACGGGCTGAAGGTGAGGAGTCGGGGTGGTGGAGGGATGCTAAGGACGGGAGATAATGGAGGTAAGGCTGCTTTGATTATTTATAGAGGTTCTCTCTTGAGCTGATTGGATAGGTGGTGTAATTACTGATGATAATCTGTGCGCGCTCCTCCCGAAACTTGTTAATAAAACATAATTTCACGAGTTCACACTTACTTATAATGAACCGAGTAAAGTT